CCTATATATAAAGATCTCTTAGAACCTAGGTTCTACCTATATATAATTTAAGTAAATAACTTTATAACGTTAATAAGAACTATAGAGATAAAGAACTAGCTAGAATAGTTAAGTATTATATCTTAATCCTTAACCTTATTCTTATTTTTATTATATAATATAGATTAACTAGGTATATACTTTAATAATATTACTAACACTATTATATAAAAAGATAGTATATATATACTATTATATAAAAATAAGGACACCTTTTCTTTAACCTTAGTTATATAGAGGCTTTAACCTTCTTTACTAAAGAGTAGCTATAAAGACTTTATAGACGTTTTAGACACCCTTGTATAGATTAACTTTACTAGCTCCTAAAGAACACTAGATATAATAATATTAATATATTAATATTAGAAAAGATCTAGAAGTTTTATTATTATTACTAATTATATAACCTAGTACTATAATGTTTTAAGTTCTTTATTAAGGATAAAAGCTACTTTAACTATAAGATAGTTATAGATGTTATATAACTTAGAGACAAGAAACACTATATATTATTAATATAGAAATAAGTTTTTAAGGTATAACTTTCCTTAAATTATTATCTATATAAGACACCTAGAATACTCTCCTAAAGTACTAGATAGCTATATATATAGGTCTACTAGACTATATTATATATAACCTAGGTATAAATTTTATATTAGAAGAGTTTAAGAATAATACTAAGATTATAGGCATCTTATATAAAGAAATACTAGTAGAAGCCTACTAGGTAGTTAGTAAAGTAAAAAGGTATATATACCTTTATAATATATATATAATATACTTTATAAGAACTTAGCTATAATATAGATAAAGAGGTTATTCTCTAGATAGCTATAAAGGCCTTAAATAATACTACTAGCCTACAAGGATTATACTAACCTTTTTATCTTTAGGATATATCTAAAGATTAATAAAGATTTACCTTTATTATATAATATTACCTAAAGGCTAAAGTAATTTAGAAGGCTATAAAAATACTATAAGGTATTTATATAAAGGTAAAGATTAACTATATAATTAACACTAGGAATAGCCTAAACTCTAGGCTATACTATTACTTCTTATCTAGAGTAAAGTCCTAGTGTAGAGAGAAAACAAAGGATAAATAGGCCTATATAAAATCTAGGGTATTAAAGGATATATAATTACTATTAATATAGTAAATAGTTTTACCTAGTTTTATATAATATATATTAAGCCTTATTATAGAGAACTAACCCTAATAACCCTTTAAATAATAATATTACTTAACTAACTTTATAAGAGTAACCTAGATAAAGAAGAAGACTAAAGAAAGGTTAACTAAGGCCTATATAAAGATCTAAAGATATTCTTAACCTAAAAGAAAAAATTACTATAACCTTATAGTTAAGCTTTATTTAATAATATTATTATAACCCTAAGAGCTCTATATAAAGAGTTAGATAAGGTTAAGATTAATTCTTTAATAAATAAGGTTTTTAAAGGTTATATAATATAACCTAAGGGACTACTAAGGTGTCTATATCTATAGGATATATATAGTACAAAGGTAAAGAACCTTAATAATAAGCTATATAAGAAATCTAGGCTTATTATACAAGGGTTTAGTAATAAGAAAAGAAATTACTTCTTACTTAAGCACTAACTATCTAAAGGATAAGCTAGTGCCTTATACTAGCTCTAGGCCTAACCTTTATATAAGACTATAAGTACTAAGGAGTTAAGAGATATTACCTAAGTATATACTTAATCTAAGGACCCCCTTAGTAGAATAATCCTTATATAACTACTAAAAGAGTTAAAAGATAATACCTAGAAGATATACTTCTTTAGGTAGTTTTACTATTATATAGCCTTATAAAGTTAGGCCTATACTAGTATAAGACCTATATTAAACACTATAAGGAGAAGTTAAAGATAACCTAGTCTATATATAATCTATACTTTTATATACTATAGATAAAGATAACTTTAGAATTATAGTTATATAAACTAATAAACTTTTTTTTATAACTATATAATTCTTAACTAAAGAAGAAGAGAAGTTATTAAAGAAAGGATTTATATAAAGCTAAAGACTACTTATCTCTAGGAACTTAGGCTAACTTTAATAGTAGATATATTTATATATATAATAATAAAATATTACCTTTACCTAGAAAGGTTAAGTAAATTAACTATAGTTAGTTAATAAGACTTTAGATAATTCTCTTAGTAATATATCTCTTAGAGGGCAAAAGGAGTATATATTACCTTAATTTATTAACTAGAGGTATTATATAATCTAGTAATTACTACTTAGACTAAGGGAGATACCCCTTAGGTAATTAAGACCTAAATATATAAATTAAATAGTAAATAGATAACCTAGAGAGAGGACTTACCTATATACCCTTTTCCTTTACTTATATAAAGATATATATCTTTACTAATAGATTATTTACTAATAACGTAGACCTAATATTATAACTTAGTTTTATTATTATACTAGTAGAAGAAGTTACTTATATAAAGACTAATTTAAAATCTAAGGTAATATTATCTATTAGAGCTTTACTAAGTATAAAAGAGTTATATAAAGTGTACTTATAAGTAAGCTTTATAGTATAATAATAGGTTTTAATAGTAGGATTACTTTAAGTATAACACTTAATAAGATCCTTTGTATACTTAATATTCTAAGGATTCTAGTTATTATATATTTAGACTCTTGTTTACTATATAAATACTTATATAATTAAGAATAATAGATAAAAAGTAACTTATAATTAATATTATAAGCCTATATAAATTATATAAGAAGAAAGAGATCTTAGAGGTTAAATAAATTAATAAAAAGATAACTAGTAAATATACTTACTAAGAAATTACCTAACTTTAGCCTTAAAAAGCTAGTTAATATAAATACACTAAAGATCTAAATTAAAGTATATATTAAATAAATTAAGAAGACTAATTAATAATTAATTTATATAAGTATTTACCTTTATACTATAAAAAAGGTATTATTTAACTCTAAAACCTAAATATAATTCTAAACCTAACTAGACTAAAGACCTTAACTATAACTAAAGTATATAAATTACTATATAAGAAAATATATTCTTACTAGGTTATAGAGAGTATATAAACCTTTTACTTACCTATTACTTAGCTTATATAAAGGAAAATATACCTTAGATCTAATCTAATTAAGGATTAGGGCTTAGCACTAGAGCTAAGGAAAAAGCCTTTCTCTTTAACACTTTTCTTAAACGCTTCCTAGTGTATAAGGGTTTTAGCCCTTAGAGACTAATAGTTTCTTGTAGTTACCTTAGCTATTACTACTATTACTAGAATTACTACTATTATTACCTAAAGAAACCTTCCTTAGCTATAATAGCTATATTAAGCTTTATAGCTTATTAAATACACTTACTATATACTTCTCTTAATAGTTATTTAGGTAATAGTAGTTAGTAAAGTAGTAAAGTATATTATTTATATACTTTTAGGGTAGGCCTATATAAGTTAGCTATAGGACTAAATAAGTATTATATAAAAGTAGCCTTTATATTAAATTACTTTAGTAATAAACTCTTAGACAGAAGTATTAGTATTAAATAAATAGTAATATTATATAAAGGTATATTAATAACCTTTTATTCTTTATCTAAAGGTTTAATAAAAGTTAGTATATATAAACTATAATAGGGAAAAAGGAACCTTATATATTAATAGTAAAGCTAGAAGAAAAGTGTAGTTTTAGGCGTTGCCTATTAGACATAAAGCTAGGTTATACTATTCTAGTCCTATTAAACCCTAAGGAACTAATAACTAAAGGCTAAGGTCTAAGCTAAGCTATTATAATATATAAAAGGATCTATTATAAATTAGTAAAGTTAATAATAATAAGAAGAAGAGATATATATAAAGTAATAATAATTAATAAGTTAAAGAGAAAAAGAAGTTATTAATTAATTAATATACAAGAGAGATAGAGAAAGAAAGTAGTAAGGTTACTATACTAGTAAAGTTTTATATATTATTTATTATTATTAAAAAGTACAAGGAAGAAAAAAGAAAAAGAGAAAAAGAAGGTAGAAGGTAGAAGGTATTTATATAGGAGAAGTTAAGGCTACTAATTATATAAAAGAAGAAAGGTATATAAACGTAAAGTAAAAAAGAAGTAAAGGTAAAGTAAACACTTATTATATAAGTAAGTAACTATTTAAAAACAACTAAATAGTAAGGTATATATAAAAGAATAGATTTAATTAGCTTAGTAAGTATTACCTTATATTTACTCTTAGAAAAGGTATATTTAGAGTTTATTTTTATTTAAATAACTTTATATATAATAGTAGGCTACTAAAAGTAAAGTTATTATAGGAACTAATTAAGACTATCTAATTAGTTAACGTAAGGGTGTATATAATTATAAAAGAAGAAAGTAAGTGTTAGAATATTAATACTAATAATTATATAACACCTAGTTAGTTAACTATAAATAGTTTATAATTTAAGGTTAAAGGGCATAGACTAGTTATTTAGCCCTTAGTTATATTAAGAGGGGATTATACTTTTAGTTAGCTAGAATAACTTAAGTTATACTTAAGTAGTATATAACTGCTTTATACAATAATAGTAAAGTAGACCTGTTTAGTTACCTAATAAGAAGTTAATTTACCTCTACGTTTTACTAAGTATATATATATATAAAGCCTATTTAACATAAACCTTATATTATATATATTATTTCTAAAAAAAAAGATAAAAAACTTAAAATCTTATAATTATTATAAAACTTATATATTTCCTAAAGTAGTAATTAGTAGGGCTAATAAGTTACTTACTTAAATAGGAAAGGCTTATAAAATCCTAGTGTTTTTATACTTTTTTCTTATTTATATACTCTTACTTTACTATTATTTTTATACTTTCTTTTTACTTATATACTTCTACTTTACTATTGTTTTTATACTTTCTTTTTACTTATGTACTTCTACCTTACTATATATACAAGGTAGTAATACATAAAGACCTATATTAGAACTAGAAAAAATTAGGTTTTTTAACTAGACTAAGGGTAAATATTTATCCCCTTTTATTTCTAAGAATTCTAAGAAAAGAAGAAGAAAAAGAAGAAGAAGAATATCTATATATACTCCTTAAATCCTCCTTTTATTTTAGATAGTCCTTAGAATAAGAAATAATACCTTTCTCTATATATTAGATATAATGGATTCTTTTACTCCTTTAGCTAGTTTACTAGCAACAGACCTTACTGCTCAACAAGTTATTATTCAAATAATAGCTCAGCACTTTCCTCAAGGTCTTTCTCAAGCCCCTCCTAGTTATATCTCTCCTTAAGAGGTACTACTAGATTCTCCTTCTCAAGAGCTTTCTAATGATACTACTCTTGCCCCTATTGACCTTTTTTCTGAATTTATAGAGTATCCAGAAGATATTCTATCTTCTTTTACCCCCCAAGAAGATACTTTAACCCTTTCTACCCAGCTTCCAGCTCTAGAAGAAAGCTTTTAGCCTTCTTTTATACCTCAGTTAGTAAGTAATAATTATTATAGTATTTATATATATATATATATTAATTAGTTATTATAGGGGGTATTAAAGAAGTATACTTGTTCTTTTTGTAAGACTTCTTATAAGTCTAAGAGGTCTTATGTATCCTATATGCGTTAGTTTAAGTAGAAAGGAGGAAGGTGTTCTAGAAAATAGGCCTAGTATATAGTTAGTATATAGATATATATACTATATATTTTTCTTAAATATTTTACTTAGATATTTAAACTTATTATCTAATTAAATAGTTATAAGTAAGTAGTATAAGTTAAGAAATTACCCTAAAAAGGTCTTATAGTTATAGTAAGTAGTTATATAATAATTAAAAGAATATTAAGAATATTACTTTATATAAATAATAAGCTAGTTTAGAAAAAGTAGATATTTTTAAAAGAAAAGTACTCTAGAAAAGGTCTTATAGTTATAGTAAGTAGTTATATAATACTTAAAAAGATATTAAGAATATTATACTATATAAGTAAAAGGTTAGTAAAAGAAAAGTAAATATCTTAAGAAAAAGTACCCTAGAAAAGGTCTTATACTTATAGTAAATAGTTATATTATACTTAAAAAGATATTAAGAGTACTATACTATATAAGTAAAAAGTTAATTAAGTAAAAGTAAATATTCTAAAAAAAGTACCCTAGAAAAGGTCTTATAGTTATAGTAAGTAGTTATATAATAATTAAAAAGATATTAATAATACTATACTATATTATATATAAGTAAAAGATTAGTTAAGTAAAAGTAAATAATCTAAAAAGAAGTACCCTAGAAAAAAGTCTAAAAGTTATATAGAGTATATAATATTAATACTTAAAAAGCTCTTATATAAATAATATATAATATAAATAATCTAATAAGTAACTTATAATTTTAAATTATAAGTATCTTTAAAGAGCTATAAACACTATATTTATATACTATACTAATAATATATATACTTATAAGTTTATTTATATAGTTTATAGTTATATCTTATAATTATATTCTATAGTTTTAGTTTATAGTTATACTTTATAGTTATACTTTATAGTTATACTTTATAGTTATACTTAATAATTATAGTTTATAATTATATCTTATAGATTATAGTTTATAGTTATACTTTATACTTATAGACTATAAGTAATAGTTTATAAGTTATAGTTTTTACTTATAGCTTATAGTTATACTTTATACTTATACTTTATAATTATAGTTTATAGTTATACTTTATAGTTATAGTTATAGTTTTATCTTATAGTTATATCTTATAGTTATACTTTATTAGTTATATACTTTATTATATAGTAAATAATTATAATAAAATAACTATATATACTATCTTTTTCTCTTTTTCTAATTCTTTATTTTATTTTTACTATTAACTATATTTTACTTAACTTATAACACTATATACTATATTACCTATAATATAATATATAAATATAACCTTAAGAAAGACTACTTACTATATTATATTATAATAATTACTTTAATATAACTTACTAAAACCTATAAAACTATATTTTATATTTTATTATTAAATATATCTAAAAAAAATGGCAGCATCTAACGATTCTTATTCTTTTCACGAGAGCTCTTCTAATATAACAGATAGCAAAGCTTCTTCTTAAGTTACAGTAAACTCTTTAACTAATAAAATAAAAGGAAACAAAAATCAATATATAGACACATCAGAGAATAGTCTTACTTATACTATTAAGCCTACTAATTCTTATATTATAGTAAATAAGCTATTTACTTATAATTTAAGTACTATTAACTATAGTAGACCTAGGGAAATTATATATAAATATAATATACCTAACTGTAACTTTAGCTTTAAAACTAAGGCTAAAAGATTTTAAGCTAGCCAAGGCTAAGTACATTATAAACAAAAACATCCTAATATAATTATTAAAGAAGAAGAAGAAGGAGATCCTTCTAAAATATCTAGTAAGTTATATATATATATATATATTATTTTATTTATTAGGTATTATTCTTTTAAAGATATTAACTAACTCTTTAACTCTCTATAGTTAAAAACTAGATTAATAGTAAAAACAACAGAATAAGTTAAGCAAATATTAATAACTTTATAAGTAATACATCTATAAATAGTAACTTTAAAAGACCTTGGCTTTTAAATACTATTTTTAAACTAGAGACAGCAGTTATTAACTGTATTAAGTTTTTAATTAATAATAACTTACCTTTTTATATTATTACTTCTAATGACTTTAATAATTTATTAGAATATTTTAATCTGTAAGTTAATTTTTAAAAATAATATTCTATAGCTTATAATAGTATTTAACTAACTATATTTATTATATTATAGTAATAGTCCTAAGTTATACTATAGTAAAGTAATAAGTAGTATTAATACTTTATTTAATACTACTAAAGATACTATATTATTTTACTTAAGTAATTACTTTAATAACTATAGTTATATATCTTTACAACTAGATATATGGACTTCTATAGACTCTAAGAGCTACCTAGGCGTTATAGGTACCTTTATTAATAGTGACTTTATATTAGACTATAAAATCCTAGGTATTTAACTTTTTATTATTTAATTACTAATATATTATATTAAGAGTATATATACTAATAATATTAATAGGCTTTAAGGCTCTAGATAGTGCACATACTAGTGTATATCTTAGTAAAGTATTTAAGTCTAATATTATAGAAGGTTATAATATTCCTTTTAGTAGAGTTATAAGGTAAGTATTAAATTATTAAATTATATATAAATAATAAACTAGTAACTAACTTATTATAGCTTTACTAGAGATAATAGCTATAATAATAATACCTTTTTATCTAATATTATTAATAATTATAAGTTATCTTATAATAATAATATATTTAATATTAGGTGTACTACACATGTATTTAATATTGTTGCTAAAGATATTGTTAATACCTTTATTAATACTTCTACTGAAGATACTATTATTAAAGAGTTTAAGAATATTACTATTATTAACGATTATAATGGAGAAATTAAAGAATTAAATACTACAGAAAAAGAAAAAGTCTTAAAGGCAAATACTAGTAAGTCTATTACTTTTTTAATAATAACTTATTAATAATAATAATAATTTAATAAATACTAATTATTATCTCTATAACATTAGGTATTATAGGCGCTATTAAAAGAATAGCTATATTACTTAAAAATAATACTAGCTTATATAAAGAGTTTTTATAGGCTATTAAGTATAATAAAGAGCTTAAAGATCCTACTATACCTTATAACTATAATAAAACTAAAATACCTCTTTATAAGTTTATAAAATAAGTTATAAATTATATTAATATTATTATATTTATATATAAACTAATAATTTAATAGGTAATAATACTAGATAGAATTCTATATATATAATGATTAGTACTGCTTTAGAATTAAAGCCAGCCTTAATTACCCTAGGGTCTAGTACTAAAAACCCTATATTTAAAGCTATAATTCTAAGAAACTGGTTACAACTACAGCATATTAAGGATTTATTAGAAGCTTTTTATGCCCCTACTATACAAATACAATATTAAACCTTTACTACTATAGATAAGCTATTATTTTAGGTTGCTAATATTAATTTAACCTTAGAAAGGGAGTTAAATTACTATAAAGAACAGCAAAAGCCTATAGTAGGAGACTTAGTAAGTTATTAATCTTTTATATTAATATAATAAACTACTATAAATATCTTTAAGTTTATTATTAAAGATAATTATTAAATATTAATTTAATTTTACTAAACTTACTAATATATTTTATAGAGTAATAAACCACAAGACCCTTATGCTAAGCACTTTATAGATGCTATAGAAAAAGGAAAAAATAAGCTTAATACTTATTTTTCTTTACCTATTACACATGCTAATTATCCTAAATTTAAGCCTTATATTTTAGGTTCTATTTTAGAACCTAAGTGGAATATACAACAGTTTTTTAATAATACTTATTTAAAGGCTTATTTACCTTCTTGGCTAGAGGTAAAAGTAAAAGAAGATCTTAAAGAAGAATATAATAAGTAAGTAACTTAACTATAATAACTATATTAATATACTTCTAGTTATTATATTTACCTTTAATATACTTATAGTTATAATATACTAATTTATTATTTCTATATTTTAGGCTAAAACAAAAGATTATTAAAGATCTAGAAAAAAATAATAAAGAAGAGTTATATATTCCTAGTTTAAATACAACTATTAAAATTAAGGATAATAACTATAACTCTAATTCTTCTTCTGATCTTCCTACTAGTAGTACTAGTAAAAAAGTAGATAAATTTACTATAGATTTATCTAAGCCTAGAGAAGGACCTATAGGTAAAAATAAATTAAAAATACCTATTCCTAAGCCTAAGCCTAAGGAATTTAAGGATTTTTACCTTATATAAAGTAAATAATAAGCAGCTAAAATAAGAGAAAATAAATTAGAAAATTATTATTCTTTATCCCCTATAGGAAATAAAGTAAGTAAGACTTTTAATATATTTAACTAGTTTTAAAAACTATAAAAGATTTATTTATAGACTATAACTATAATATTTTTAAAATAATTTAATATAATATTATATAGTATATACTAACTATTATTTAGGCAAATTCTTTAGAGTGGTGGAAGAATAATATAGAGAAATTTCCTATTTTATCTATATTAGCAAGAAAATACTTAGCTATACCTCCTACTTCTGCTGCAGTAGAAAGTAGTTTTAACTAGTCTAGTAATATTATTACTAAAAGAAGAACTAATTTAACAAATAATACTAGAAAAAAATTAATGCTTTTAAAAGGCTAGCAATAATCTAGTAATTTAGAGGGCTTAGATAGCTCTTTTTATATACCTAAGATATATAGTAGTTTATTTAATATAGGCTTTGAATACTTATCTGAAGAAGAAGGGAGTATTATAGAAGAAGAAGTAAAAGATAAAGAAATAGAAGATTTTAAAGAAGTAGAAGAGATAGAAGAGGATTCTAGTTATTAAGAGCTATTTATTATATAGTTAGTTATTATATAGTTAGTTATTATATAGTTAGTTATTATATAGTTAGTTATTATAAAGTTAGTTATTATATAGTTAGCTATTAAAAGCTATTTATTATATAGTTAGTTATTATATAGTTAAGTATTAAAAGCTATTTATTATATAGTTAGTTATTATATAGTTAGTTATTATATAGTTAGTTATTATATAGTTAGTTATTATATAGTTAGTTATTAAAAGTTATTTATTATATAGTTAGCTATTAAAAGCTATTTATTATATAGCTAGTTATTATATAGTTAGTTATTATATAGTTAGGTATTATATAGCTAGGTATTAAAAGCTATTTATTATATAGTTAGCTATTAAAAGCTATTTATTATATAGTTAGTTATTATATAGTTAGTTATTATATAGTTAGTTATTATATAGTTAGTTATTATATAGTTAGTTATTAAAAGTTATTTATTATATAGTTAGCTATTAAAAGCTATTTATTATATAGCTAGTTATTATATAGTTAGTTATTATATAGTTAGGTATTATATAGCTAGGTATTAAAAGCTATTTATTATATAGTTAGTTATTATATAGTTAGTTATAATATAGTTAGTTATTATATAGTTAGTTATTATATAGTTAGTTATTATATAGTTAGTTATTAATAGTAACTTTAGTATAGTTATAGTATATTAATATATTATACTTTAAGTAATATATAGTTTTTTTATTTATATTACTTATATAGTAGTAAATACTTATAAATAATACTTTATAAACTTTACTATATCCTAGTTTTTAAGTATACTATATTTTAAATAAAATATATAAATAATACTATACTATAAAAGAAGGTTAATAGTACTATATATAATTAATTTACTAATTTTTAATTATTTTTATTTTTTATATTGTATAGTTGTATATTATACAAAATACAATATAGATATAATATAATATAAATATAAATACATGTATTGTCTTTCTTATATAATATAATATAAATACATGTATTGTATTTGTATTATATTGTATTATATTTGTATTGTATTTTTGTATTGTATTATATTTTGTATTTTTTTTAAACTCTCTAAACACTACTATTAATTTTTTATAACTTCCTCTTTAACTAAGGTATCTTTATACCTAAAGACTATTAATAGATTACCTTATACCTTATTACTATTATTAATAATAATAAGTTTTATATATAAATAGATAAAGAAGTTAAGAAGGTATAGTATAAGTTAGTAATATTTAATAAGCTTATTAAAATATATAATAGCTTCTTAAATAATATCTAATATAGTTATATTAGCCTAGAGTAGTATAAGTAAAAATAGTAATAGTAACCTATTGCTTATATAACTAAATAAAGCCTAGTAATATTTATAAACCTTAAGTAATAACTAGTAATAATATAGGCCTAACTTAATAAATAAGTATAAAAGTTATATTAGTAAAAGTAGTAAACCTTAGTATTACTATAATAGACTTAATCTATATAAGATTTACTACTTTCTTTATATAATATAATATAAGGACTATTTTAATAAGGTAATAGTCTATTATCTTTTTTTACTTAA